TTAGCTCGGTAATAAAGATTGCAAACGTATGGCCTCCAGAACTGTGAGAGAATAAATGTATACTGTTTTAAGCCATCTAGTTTGTAGGAATTTCTTACAGCAGCCATATTAAATGAATACATTTCTTTATTATTATTCCCTCTTCCTATTTAAGATATTTGCTGCAACTTCTAATTATATGCCCTGAAGAAGGTTAAGAACGTCCGGCCTATTTTTAGTGTGCTAAAAGTTTTTGTAATAAATGGGTGATGAATGAAATACAATTTTCTGCATAATGATTCTCTATTAATAACACAAATTATACATACACACATTCACACACGCATTCTTCTAAGAATATTTTTTCCTAAGATAACTAGAACATGATGTATTATCTTTTATTAGATGTGGTTTGCTAATAATTATTTAGAACTTTTGTATCTATATTTACTAGTGAGATTGACTTATTCTTTTTTTGTACTGTATTATTTTGGTTTGGATATACAAGACATGCTAGCTTCAAACAATTCTTTGGACATGGCTTTCTTTTTTCTTACCCTTTGGAAGTGTTTTTACAACAATAAATGACCACTTCCCAGACAAGGTTTAAGTTTTAAATTTACTTAACGTAGGTGACATCAATATCCAAAACATAATTTTGATAGCACTAAATCTAATGTGTGTGTGTGTGTGTGTGTGTGTGTGTGTGTGTGTGTGTTTTAAAGGTACTCATGGGTAGGTCATAACTTGACTACATTTAACAAAATAGAGCCAATGTGAATGTAGCTCCATTACCAAGCAAGGAAAGTTAGATGATTTTGCCTTATCTCCTTGTAACATAAGTAGACCTCTGAAAAATACACAATTAATACTTGCTATGACATCTGAACATACAAATTAATGATATTTGTTTGAAGTGTTGTTTTCATAAAATACTATAGTCAACTACAGTTGTGTTTTGCATAACTTAAGGGTGCAGACTTCAAAGTCTGCCTTCGTGGGTTCAGATCTTAGATGTCACATTTCTGCATGATGTCAGCCTCTCTATGACTTAGTTGCCCCCATCTGGAAAAGAGAGATAATACCTCATATGTTTGTTACAGGGCTTAAGTGAGCGAGTATTTGTTGAAGTACACAGAATTTTTTTTTGGATCTAGGAAGGATTTTATATGCATTAACTAGTATTTTTATTATCATGTTCTATACTATTTTTCTTCTAAACATATTAGAACACTTCACATCAAATATCTGGCCCAACATCGGAACCCTTGTGTACAGTGGCGGGAAATTCCCCATTTGGAGTAGTTGAATGTTGGAGGTTTGTGACTTGATTCTACATAAACTAGCCTAAGAGGGGCAAAGTGCTGACTATAAGCCAGGTATTACTGCAAGGTGTGATTTTTCTGTCTTACACTTACTTCACTAATTGTATTAAATAAAAGAATAAGAAAATTGCATTTAATGTGTGATCTGCCTTTTAATCCATACGTTTTCTCAGATTCTGTCTGCTAATTGGTGTACTTGATGAAATCACTGATGATATGTACTGTGCTGAATTATTTATCTTTTAATTTTAAAGATTTAAGTAGAATAAATTAAATTGTAGGCAGCAAAAAATTGAGATTGGCTGTTATGTTTTTCTCATTAGGAAAGTCTTCTCATTTCAGTTCCTTATCTTTATTTGTTTTCTTGTTAAATAAACTTTTATATCAGTATGGCCTGGATCTAAGACTCACTTCTGTTAATTTTCCATGAATGTAAATGTGTCTCTAACATACAGATAATATTCCCATGCTCTCTATATATTTAATCTGTCAATTATAGGCAATAACTTCATAACGCTACCCTTCCATGTTAAATAATAAGTAGCAACCATTGAAGTATGGGTAAAAATTCTAACAGTTTGAGCACAGTCTATCACATTTTCTCCAAATAAAATGTTACTTTTTTGGTCAATCAGGGCACATCTGGCAAAATATTTTTAATGCATGTAAATATCTCAGTCTCCTCTCAAACTGGCTGATGCTCAACATCTAAAATTGGATATGTACAAACTAACTTGCCAAGCAAGTAGGGAATTTTTTTTTTTTGGAGGTAGCATCTGAACAATAATCATGTAAATTTTAAGGGGATTTTTTGTTACAAAATTAGTTTAAAAATTAAAAAGTGTACAAATATAATTATGCCAAATAGAATAGAAAAGAGTGCCTCAAATGACCGTGATTAAAAATGATCCTGATGTAGAATATAGTTTTTAGAATTTACTACAGTAAGTTATTTTGTGAGTAATAAGATGATGTGAGTTTTTCTTCAAAAGCAAGAAGAAAAGGAAGAGAAAAGGTATGAAAAAAAAGAAGGGAAAAGAGAAAGAAAAAAAGACGGCTCTCTATGGTGTCTATTACAGCCCAAATTTTAAAAAAATACATGAAAGTAGGTAAATATGTAGTATATTTTAGCTTTGTTACTGAAACAGAAAATATATACTCAACTGGACTATAAATATATACTTAATTGGAGTAATAGGTTTTGGTGTTCATATATGAAATCTATATAAAATCTATATAATATATATGGCATAGTTATAAAATGGTGCATTAAAATAAGATTAGTAAACTAATAGTTATTGAAACATTAAATGAGATAATGTATATAAAGTTCTTAGTATAGTGCTGACACTTTGCAGGTATTAAATGCAGGTGTTATTAATGCTCTATTTTTATTACTACTGGTTGTACTAGTAGTAGCAGGGTCTTTAAAGTGTTTATAAAAATGTTTGAAACACCGAAGGCATAATAATTGGGAGGAAGGTTTCGCTAGTGATATGCTGATTTCTGAGGAAATGCATACCTTTTCCTAATCAATCAAAATAATGCTATTAATATTATCTCTTTAAAGGCTTACAATATAATTTTTAAAAGATGTTTATACAGACATGCATAAAAATATTTTAATGAGAGAAACGTACTGAAAGAATGAAATTCAGAAGACAATAAATAATTGCTACCCTAAATTTTTAGTCCCTAAGATAGTATATACTAATTATATATATATATATATATATATATATATATATATATATTAAATGGATTAATACACCTGGAAGAAAAAAGTTGCTGAAGAAATTAGATTTTGGCTGAATTGTGATGGATGATTGGAGTCGATCTTGAAGAAAGATCATTGTAAAAGCATTTACCAAACTCAACTATAAAAATGTTATTGGAAATTAAATATATCAATTAGATGGGCAGCAATAGATACTTATGTAATATGGGAGGAGGATAAGGAATACACAACAAAAGTGTGAGTACCAAGTATAATTGAACAGGATGAGCAGAAAGCTGGTAATTGCCATACGATCCACTGGGCCCCCAATGAGCTACATTCTCTAAACTATACTTTGGTGCAATGTTATTAGTCTGATATATTGATCTTTATTGAAATTACCAACCCTAGGTAACTCACTGATTATTTTTTAAGAATAACGTTTGGGGACATTTTTCTTACATCACGTGGTGTCTTTATTACAAGGATGGCTAGGAAAAATTCTTTTCTAATTGTTCCAAGAATGATACGTATTTTAAACAATTCTCTTTTTATATTATAAATTGAATAACCATCTCCATGTTGAACATTAGTACTGCATAGCCCAATACATCTCAGATAAAAATTGGCAATGTATAGTGAAACAGAAGCACAGGTAGTGGGATGGAGATGGAGTATGTTCTTAGAAGTGCCTCTGGAATTTTTCAGCCAATGACACAACAGTGAGACAGGTGTCTCCTTAGAACATTCTCAAGAAATCAAGTAGGAACAAGAATAAAGAGAAAGAGTATAGTAGTGAAATGCTGTAGGAATTATCAGCTCCTTCCATCTACCTCCCAACTCCTTGCAACATACACACACACACACACACACACACACACACACACACACAGTAGAGCCACAACAAAGAATTTACTGTGTATGTGGCACAAAATAAATATTTTATTAATTATTTCCCGCTTGACTATTTTTCAAGGCTAGTTAGTTACTGATTATGAAAGTAAAATAGAAATATGCACAAAATTGGAGAGGGGAAAGAGCAGAGAACGAGTGGGGAGAGAGTAAAAGTTTCATTGGTTCAAGTACAAAGTTAATTTAGAGTAGAATTGATCAGTGAGACTAGATATAATGTTTGGTAGCAGATGTAGAAGTTAGGAACAGATGTTGTAAAGCTCTGACTATAACACAAGAGTTTAATTTTATTCTCTAACTTAATAGAAAACTGTTTAGACATTGTGTAGGGTAGTAATGTTATAGTATTGATATCATAGTAAGATTAATTTGGTAATGTAACCTCAGTTTAGCCTCACAATTATTTATGAAGTGCCTACCATTTTTAAGACGATATGCTAAGTGCTTCAGGTGATGTAATTTGACTTTGTGTTTCAAAGATTGACCAAGATGGGTTTAATAGTTACTATGTAACAGGGATAGTCATAGGTGCACAAAGCCAAACAGGTGGAAACGGAAGAATAAGGAACACAACACAAATCAAAAGTCAAATAAACAATGTGTAATCAAATGTTATAGAA